CTTGTGCTTAGAAGTTTGAGACCAGCCGGGGCAACATTGTGAGGTCTCATCTCAATAAATGGAAACTGCCGTGGGTAGGGTGTACTCTTGCAACCTCAGCACTTGGGAGGCTGAGGCACGAAGATCACTGTGAGTTTGAGGCCTACCTGAATTGTATAGTGAAAATCTGTCTTAAAAACACCAAACCAAAACAAAACCCAAACCAAAATGAAATAAAACAAAATAAAAAAAAGCTATGAACAACAACCTGTGAGATGTTGACTAGTTTCAGCATTCCTTAGAAATTATATTAAAAGAAGAGGAAGAAAAAAAAAGAGGAAGAGGAATGTTAAGGAAATGTATGATGGTGCAGAGATAAATTTCATTCATTTTACAATCTGCCTGTGGTAAGCCCAATAGTCAAAGGAGAAAAACCAATAAACAGAAAAGGGAGAAAATTTTTTTGTGGTGGAGTACCGGGGATCAAACTCACGAACTGACGCTTTCCAGGTTGGTGCTTGTGCTGCTGAGTTATATCCTAGGCTCTCAAGGAGAAAAGTTTTACTAAGAAAAATATACTTAATTTACAATATATGTGACAATAAAAATGCATTTAGCATGTATATAAAGTTCTTCCAAAACAATAGAAACATCGTAAAGTGAGAGATCGGGCAGTTTATAGAGAAAGAACATGTACGGTTAGAAAGTCCACAGGAAAAATAATTAATCCTTGTCATCAGGAATTTCAAAATTGGACAATAGAATGTGGTACCTATTTGGATTCCAAAACTGATAAATGTTAAAAAGATTAATGAAAATAGTGATAAAATAGTACAAAGATATGAAAATAGGCAATGTAATTAAGGAGTAGGGAAGCAAGCATGCATACATTATTGATAGTAAATGAATTAAGCTGCATTTATACAATGAAATGCCATTGACCCAGATGTAGATATTTACTTCAGTGGAAATAAGCTAAATGAAAATTATTACAGAGACTGCAGAATATAGAGAAAACATCATCCCATTTTGCTATGTAATTACGTTTATAAATAATTACACATTATTATTGCACACACATATATATATGTGTGTGTAGGCATTTATACCAAATTGCTAATTGGGAATTACTTAAAAATATTGGCTTTGGGATTTGGGTGATTTCTCACTTCAATTTACCTATATTTCCTAATTTTTTAAATAGTAAAACCCTAATTACTTATGCAAATAAGCACAAATCAAGATTAAAGATAAAGCATTATTAGGGTAAAAATGATGAACTCCAGAGCCAGACAAGTCCATAGCACAGGAGACCTAAGACAGACAAATTTCTTAAATTTCTTAATCTTGGTTTCCTCATCTGCAAAATGATAATAGTAACAGTACTTACCTCAATGAGTTCATGAAGATTAAATTAAATAACTGATATAACCTACTATGTGTATTTGCACATTAATCAGGTAATCCGAAAGTTCCTACTCTTACATTACATCGTAGTATAAGATGCTTGGGGAATTACAAAGAAGGCAGTTAACAATGCATGAGACAATGTCATTAGCTCCAATGAGAAAAAGGGCAGCATAGTTCTATAATATACAAGGGAATCCATAAAAACACACACTTTAAGGGTATTAAATGTCTATTAAACTAATTTGCTTCTTTAAAGAGATCTAAGTTAATTTTTTTATTAGTACGTGTGTGCTATATAATGAATACATTCATTGTGAGTAGTTGATATACGTATGTGACACATTTTTATTCTTTTTAAATTAGTGAATTTTACATAACATGAGTTAAATTTCAATGAAGATGTCAAAGTAATTATTTTAGCTATAATATTTGCCTAGAAGAAACGGTCTTAAGGGTATTTTAATACAAAATATACTATAAAGTACAGAAATTAACATTGCATAGGAAATTTTCTAAACTAGCTGAATCGAGTCATATGAAATTGAATCTAGTTCATAAAGTCATTGAATTGCTTTGGAGACTCATTTTGTAATGTGTGATTAATAAAATGAGGCCCACATAGGATTTGAAAATATTAAATATTATGATTAGAATAATGAATTCTTTAATTTTCCCTATAAACCATTGGTAGAAAAAGAATTTTATTTGTTTAGGAATAAAAGAAATTAGCAGTTTCTTGTATAATGCCAATGATTTTCAAATTTCAACTAAAATTCTCTGTTCTCCAAAAAGTTATTTCCTTGATCACTCTTGCCCTTATTGGACACTTCAAATATGGAAATATGTTAACTGCTTCACAGTTTAATCACACGTGATTTTGACTACATGTTTTTTTGTTGTTGTTGAAATCTTTTTGAGACAGGGTCTCACGCTGCAGTTCAGGGTGGCTTTGAGCTCACTTTGTAGCCCTGGCTGGTCTCAAACCTGCAAGGATCCTCCCGCCTCAGCCTCTCTGTTGACAACACCTCTCGAAGTGTTTATTAACTCACTTAACTGGTAAGACAGAGAGGGATAGTTTAAAGCTGGAATGTCTACCAAACGCCTATGGAGTCAAGGCTTGGACACCAGCCCTTTGTTCTGTGGGGATGCACTGGACATTTGAAGTCTCCTGGAAGAAAGAGTGTGCTTTGAAGGGATTAGTGTGTTCTCTCACACTTTCCTCCAAATCTTTGCTTCCCAGCTGCCGACTGTGAGCTGTCAAAGCCAAAGGCAACAGCACCACATGACCTGAAATCTCTGAAATCCTAAACCCAAATAGACTTTTCCTCCTTCTAAGCTGATTATTCAGGTATTTGGTCACAACTACAGGTAAGATAAGCAGTTTGGTTAGGTCACATGGCTAGTTAGAGAATCAAAGCTGGAACTGTCATTGTTATAAAAGTGTCAATACCACACCACACAACTCCTTCCCTGTGCCTTGAATGCTACAAATAGGGAAAGAATGACCTGAAAACCAGGTCTCTTCTCAAAGAACTCCTAAGCAAAGAGCTAATCAACTAACTAGGCTTCTGGCAGCGTATCTAAATTAGTGTCCACTAAGAACAATAACAATTACAATATTCTGAGGCACAATTATAGCAATTTATATAATGAATTCTTACTCTTAGAAAATATACTTTATAGGCCAGGGATTTCACTCAGCAGCATAAGGGCTTACCTGGCAAGTGCTAGGTCATAGAGTTTGATCCCTGGTACAAAAGCCCCCAAAAAACAAAACAAGCAAAAACCCAACCAAAAAACACCTTTATTTTGAAAGCCAACTAGATTGGCAGAAGAGCTGAACACTGACCAGTTAAGTCATTGAATAAATGTGCACATTCATTGAGATCATAGCTGTCACTGATTCCTACATTTTGTATTTCATTCATTCACTTATTCAATGTTTATCTATTAAACACCTTCTATGTGACAAGTATGGTTCTAGGCATCTGCAGTATATTGCCTTAGAGAGGGAGAAAGAGGAGGAGGAGGAGGAGGAGGAGGAGGAGAAGGAGAAGAAGAAGAAAAGAAGAAGAGGAAAAGGAAGAAGGAGGAGGAGGAAGAAAAAATTAATTTTTTTAGAAACCTAAGGAATTACAATAACAAAGAAAGTCCCAGATTTTATCAAATTTACATCTCCATAAAGACAAATGAAGATGGACATGTTAATAATGTTATCAATAGAAACACTGAAGGACAAGTGGCAGAGATACAGGGCTGTTTAGATAAGGAGCCAAGGAAACTCTCCTGAGATATTAGCACTTAACTGGAGATGAACTGGAGGTGAGAGGTGTGGCATTCTAAAGAGGAGCATACTAGGCTTAGAAAGAGCTGTGCAAAGGCCCTGAACCCAAAGAAGAAAAGCTCTTGGGGTGGGGCAGAGAAAACCTGGAGGGAGCAGAGGGAGAAGAGCTCAGAGAGGAAGCTTTGCCTAGGTCGGGGTAACCTTTGTGACCTTTTCTCTAACGGGGGACAAGTTAGCAGGTTATCATAACTACCGAGGTGAGAAAGGACAGCTCTGGAGGGCCTTAGAATTGGTAGGAGACAGACCATATTTTGAAGTTAGACTTGACAAAATTCACGGATGGATTAGAGTGTAGGGTGGGAGGGCCCCTTTGAGGCATGAGCGATATTTGTGTTATTAATCTCAGAGGCAGGGATGGGGAATGCTCAAAGGGCTCAAGCCTTTTTTGGCGTGTACAGACAATTTGACCTTGAGGTTAAGTCAATAGCATTTGCTGACTTCTAAGCATAGGGTGAAATCTGGGGCGACCCCTCTGCTTCAGCTGCTCTTGGTCGAGACAGGCTGACAATCTAAACAGTGGTTATGGGAGAAGGACAAATGTCGGCCCATCTCATTCCAGTTTGTTAGGGAGAGGAACAGAACCTGAAGGCATGAAGGCGGTTTTCCATCGCGTCCGGTGTATGGTGGGGTCCAATCTTGGTGACCCCCTGCCCCACCCCACCCCACCTCGCGTTTCTCTCTCTTTGGCCTTTTGTTTCTTATCCTTTCCTTGGCCCAACTTCTTGGCGGCAGGATGGCATAGCTCACCAGTGATTCTCATACTTTAGCGGGGTATGGATTTTCCCAAGAGGGTCTTTGAAAACAGACTGCCCCCCCCATTTCTAATTGGGGCGCAGTGTGTGGGGGAGAGCCTCAAGATGTTTCATTTCTAATAGGTTCTCAGGCTGTGCTTGACGACTAGTTCTTCTGTAGGAAGATGTGAAAAACAATGGGATTAAAAAATAAATGTAGAAATTTTATTAATACATGTTTTCAGTACATAATGGTTACATTCATGGTGGGGAGTTGGGACATGAGCATAACACATCTGAATTTTACTTTTGACTTCTTCTCCCTCCCTGCTCTCTGCATCAGCAATGGGCTTCTGACGCCCACCTAAGCTTTACAGCCACCTGGCAAACGGACCAGTTTCTCCAAGTTTCTTGGCTTCCCCACAACTGGTGCAAAGCAGAAGTGCGGGAGGAGAAGGAGCGGGAGGGCCCGGGGCGCAGAGCGGAGAGGCGGGAGGCAACCCCGGGCCGGCCCCCAGAGCCTCGGCGGCGGCGGACGCGGGCCGGGAGGAGGCGCCCTAGCAGGCGACGCCTCTCGAGGAAGTTTGCCCTTTAATTACGGAGCGGGGTTCCCGGGTCGCTCAGCCTTCGGGAGCGAGCGACCGGGAGTGCAGCGCGGTCAGTCCTACCCGGCGGCTCCGCGCACTCCGCACCGCGGCCATGGGCGGCTCGGCCTCCAGCCAGCTGGACGAGGGCAAGTGCACCTACATCCGAGGTACGCCTGCGGCGCGCGGGGTCCCCGCCGGGCCGCCCCGCCCTGGCCCTGGGCGCGTGGGTGCGGGCTCCGTGCTCCCCCGGCTCCACCTGCAAGGCGCGGAGGTTGGGGCTCGGCCCCGCGCTGCAAGCTTTCTTTTGTAGACCCGGGAGCAGACGCGGGGAGCTGGAGTCTGGGAGGGGGGCGTGGAGGGCGGGTCTGGGGGGCCCTGGAGGGTTAGGCTTAGGCGTAGGTGTGGGAAGCGCCGCAGGATGCTTGGAGCCTGCAAGTGCAGGTCCTGGGTGGGAGCAGCGACCTCGCCGGCTCTGCTCACCCGCCCGGGCGTGCGTTCGGCTTCCTCCCCAAAACACCTCGGCTTCGGCTACTTGGCTGGGGACTTAAGTTCTGAGCAGTTTTTTGTTTTTTGTTTTTTGTTTTCTTCTTCTTCTTCTTCTTCTTCTTCTTCTTCTTCTTCTTCTTCTTCTTCTTCTTCTTCTTCTTCTTCTTCTTCTTCTTCTTCTTTTTTCAAAGAGAACAGTGGGGGATATCCCTTGTTTCCAGAGCGTTCCCAGGGGATTCCCGCGCTATAGAGCGGAATTTCCCTCCGGGAAGTGTTAGCCTGGTTACGGTGTGGAACTCAGCTTCACTTTTTGCTCCTGTCACTTGCGGGATAGTTTCATCAGACTCAGAAAAGGCTGTGCCTACGTTTCCAGGCTGCGTGGTCCTCTTCCCTCTCCAGGGCCCTGGGGTGCGGTGGAGGGAGCAAAAGAGGAACTCTGGTATGTTTTGTAATAGTCCTGGGTTACAGATGGAGAGAAACTTCAGTTTTAGGAGATCAACAGAGATAGAGTTACTCAGTGAAGATTTAGAGGCAGAACAAAAACATCAAATTGAACGGAAACTGCAAGAAGTCATGACTCTTTATCTCTCGGTGGATTTCTAACCTGAAACTTACCTTCACCACTACCTAACATTTGATTATCTTGTGAATTCAGTGTGTGTGTGGCTTCCTCCCCTCCATGCCGCTGGTTTCAGAAACCTTTTAAGTTAGATATTAAGCTAGTTTACTCTAATTCTTTGAAGAGATAGTTACCCCTAATACACTTTTGTAGATCTTAGATTTTTTTTTTTTTTCGTCATTTTCCTTTTTATCGGTACCGGGATCAAACTCACGACTGCCCGCTTGCAAGGCAGGCCCTTATGCCGCTGAGCTAAATCCCCAGCCCCTCAATGTTAGATCTTAAGAGGTCAGCGTTTGTTTGGTGTCTTCATTCCATATTTGTTTTCAGTCACTATAGTATTTAAAACTTTTTAAAGGATATTAAGTCAGGGCACTTGAAAGGCAATGTATTATAATTGATTTTCCAGATTCCTGCTTTTGTTCTTCTAAAGGTAAAGACCATCAGTAACTCATACCGGTAGGGGACAGAATTTGTGCATGCATTCCCTTGGTGCTTATTAAAAGGAGAAAAAGATGGATGTTTTATTTTGTTAAGCAAACCTGCCTTCGTCTCAAGGTTTTTGCTGTGGTGGCAGACACCTGTAATCCCAGCATTTAGGAGGCTGAGGCAGAAGGATTGCTGTGAGTTTGAGGCCAGCCTCATCTACATAGTGACTTCAAGGTCAGTTTGAACTGCATAGTGTAACCCTGTCTCAAAACAAACATCCCCCAAACCCCCAAAAAACCAAATAACAAAAGAAAACAAAATACTCCCCTCCCAAAACAAACAAATGGAAAGAGAACTTATCTCTTCTTAATATTTGGATGGACACTTTTTAGGTATGTGTCATGGGAGAGGGAAGAGAAGAGTTAAAGTTAAAATACCTCCAGGAAAAATGAGACATTGCTTCATGTGAGAGCAGTAGTCTTGCCAAAAGAGAAAAGAACCTTGGAAAAATGCATAGTGTTGTGAATTGTTCGTGCATGAGCAAATGATGATCATGAGACTGTGATTTCAAACCTCAGGCTCCTGAATAAAATCGTAACCCTGCCTTTACCTCTGTGTTCATCTTTTAGACTATATTTTTTTCTTAAGTTTTAATTGTAAGCAAAACTATTGGAGGTATGATGACAAAGTTTAAATTCAGTTTTTTGATCTATTTCTCATAAGTGAAAGATGGGTTCAAAAATTTCTGTAGCAAAGCTGGGCGTGGTGGCTCACGCCTGTAATCCCAGCACTCAGGAGGTTGAGGCAGGAGGATTGTTGTGAGTTTGAGACCAGCCTCGGCTACAAAGTGAGCTCAAGGCCAGCCTGAATTGCCTAGAGAGACCCTGTCTCAAAAAGACCAAAACAAAACAAAAAACTTTGGTAGCAGAGGCAGCAACTCTCTTTTGAATTTGATACACTTTGCTAACATGGAAAATAACTAGTTGGTAAACTTTGACATTTTAAAGCTTTATTTTGGATGTGATTTAAGTAACTATCCTTCCAGTATGTTAATTACTCAATCAACACTTTTAGATGAATCATTTATTTGTTATTTATTTATTTTTTGGTTAGATGAATCATTTAACAGCTGCCATTTGGTTTGTATGCCTCAAAATTTTGAGTTAATCATGATCTGTGTCACATGGCTGTGTTGAAAATATGCTGTTTCTTGGCGTGTCATCAATCTGTAGATAAAGAAATATCAGATACATTATAAAGCGATAGTTATGTTTCTTGTTGCTGAGACAAAATACCTGACACCCAAAGTTAAAGGGGGAGAGATTTATTTAGCTCACAGTAGACTTTTCAGTTCAGAGTTGGCCTGCTCCAAAGAAGGATGGCTTTGCAAGGTAGAACAGTTCATGATGGCCAGAAAGTAGCCAAGCAAACAAGAGGCCTTTAGGTCTTGCTGCCCCTTTTGTACTTTATCTAGGCTACTAGGATTAGGGCAGTGCTATACCAATCAATGGGCTGACTTAGTGACCACACTCTCTTAATACCAGTGTCACATACACTAGATTCAGCCACCTCTGAAAAAACCCCATGTAAGACTGTAAGGCTTTGGGGGACATTTAGACACAAACCAAGACATTCTTCCCCTGGTGCCCTAAAGGCTCATGTACATTCCTTTACAAAAAAGATGTAAGTTGGTCTTCTAATAGTTATTGCTAAAAAGTCTAAGTCTCATGTCTTCTCTGAGATTAAAGGGAAACTTTTAGCTGTATGTCTGTCTGTACAAATGAAAAGACCGTTAAACACTTCCACAGTGGTACAAGATAAACATTTCCATTCCAAAAGTTACAAACAAGGGATAGCAAGGAATGGGAACAAAGCAAGACCAATCCAGCAGGGCAAAGATTAAATCCCATAGCTCCACTTCCAGCGTCCCTGGCAATCTTTGGCAAGTTGTGAACTCCAAGGGGCTTGGATGGCTCTGCCCATATGGTACTTCTTGTGGTTGTAGCTCCTGTGGCTTCTGTCTTGGACTGGTTCTGCGCCCTCCTTGCAGTTTTTCTCAGACAATTGATGTTCCTGGTTTCTGCAGATTTCAGAGTTTTCCAGGCTCCTTTGGCTTTACACTCACAGCTTCACACATTAACCTCTCACTGGAACATTACTTGGTTTCTCAGGTCTTCTAAAATATGGGTGAAAGCCTTCTTGATCTCATAACTGCATGAATCTAAAACCAGTACCACATGGATGATGCCAGGGTCTGCCACCAGCTGGAGCAGTAGCCAGACTTTCTTTTTTCTTGGCTAGAGTGGTTAAGTGTCTGGAATGCTGACCACTCTGAACCTAGTCCTGAGAAACAAATTCTGTAGGCTGCCACCATTCTGGAATGTAGTGCTCTGGGGTTTTCTTCTCAAGGAAGTCTTTTACTTTTGCAATTTTGAGGCCAAAGAGGATGGAGTTTTGCTGCTTCTTGTGATGCCCTTGGGCATCTTTTCTATTCTACTGTTCCTTCTTAGCAATCAAGATCTCCTCTGCTCTGTTTTTGCAGTCCACAGCTTTACTAGAGCTTTTCTGGCCAAACTCAAAACATTTTTATTCATTCTGTTGGGGTCTTCGCTCTTGATTCTCAAAGTAAATCTGGCTAAAAGCCCCCAACAGTAGCCATGCCACTGCCTCAACATTCAACTGCTTTGAAATTTCATCTGCCAGATTAATTAGTTCACTGCCTTAATAACAGGAGAGTCTCTGGACACTAACAGAATGCAGACAAACTTTCTGCCAAGGTATGATATGCATCATCTAGAGTGTAACAACCACTGTAGTTCTTCCCAGTAGAAACCTCCTGAACCTGGTTTTTACCAGCAGAATTCCTAGATCAGCCTTCTGGTCTTCTGAACTCTAACCAGAATCTCCTATCAAGTACTGCCTAAGGAACTCCAACTCTACTTTTTCAGCTGGCAAAACTGAATCTTTCCAAACTCTTCCCTCAAGCCATTCCCAAAGATTCTTAAACCATGTGATCAGGTATGATCACAGCAATGACTCCACTTCCCTGGTACCAAATTCTTAGTGACTTTTCTCATTACTGGGAAGAAAAACCCAACACACAAAGTGAAAGGAGGAAAAGTTTATTCAGCTTACAGTTTGTAGATGTTTCAGTTTGGAATCTGCCGGCTCCAAGGCAGGATGGCTTTCCTGAGGAGCAGTTTGTTAACCAGAAAGTAGCAAAACAAACAAGAACTCTTATTGGCTTTGCCCCTATGGTACTTTTTATACTCTGTCTGGGCTACTAGAACTAGGGCAGTGCCACACCAATCAGTGGACTGATTCTGTAATCACACCCCCTTAATCCTAGTGGCATACACTCTAGGTTCAGCCACCTCTGAAAAAGCCCCACCTAAAACCGTACTTTGGGGGACCATCTAAACACAAAGGCTTTGGGGGACCATCTAAACACAAACTGTAATAAGAAATCACTTTTTAAAGGAGTTAAATTTGAAGATTGTAATCACATTCATATTTCTTTGAAGGTAATCAAGTTTTAGGACTGTTTCTAGAGGACTTTTTAATAACTTCCAAGGATAAGTGCTTCTATTAATAAACGGTACTGAGACTAACTTGCAACTATATCATTTTACC